GCTCTCTCAGTGTCACTGTCACCCAGAGACATCCTGCTTTCTGTGTGGCAGTAAGGGAGGGGACTGCAGGGCTGGATGTTCTTCCTGTAAAAACAGCAAAAAGAGGAGCATGGAAGTGCCATGTGCGAGGAATGTGTGGAATGATGGGTGAGTATGAGCCTGTCTTTGTCCAGGTTTCACAGAGTGACGTTATGGGTGTAAACAGCCGCTCTTCCTCCTCTCTTTTCCTCTTCAGGACAGCTGAAGAGTCAATGTCAGGACAGCATATGACCCCTGATATCCCTGGGGAGGATTGCTGCATGGACGGCTATGACAAGCCGTGTGCCAATTTCTGGGCCCTATCTGGTAAGGGCTCCTCACTGTTCTTTTCCAACAACATCCTTGGGAGTTGAGGGTGTCACTTGAGGAAGGATACACCCAAAGCATGTATGTGATACAGCCAGGATAAAAATGCATCACTTGTAAACACCTGGGCTTTTTTAGAGCTGGCAATCTCCATAAAGGTGTTGTGCTAAGATTGTTTTGCATTTCGTTTCCTTGTTTTGTTTCTATAAGCCCAGTGCTTGGCTGATTACACAGGAAATCAACTGCTATAGGCATTCACTTCAACGGACAAACTTTAAACGAGTCACCAGGGAATGGCTGCTGTTGAGTTCAAAGAGAAAGAGACATCCAAAATCTCTGGCCAAGCCAAGTTATGGTGGGAAATATCAGATACAAAGAGGAGAAAACTGGAAGGCACAGTAGGGTGAAAGACAGGGACAGCTTGGTTTTCCTGTCCATAATTGTCAAATTAAGGCAAGGGTGGAACAGAGATTTAAAAAAAACAACAACCCACCCATAAAATTTTGCTAAGGAAATTTCATTGAACATCAGGAAACGTGCTATGGTGTTTATGTTATATGAGCTGTGTGCAATTATCCGAGGATGGAAATATATTGAGAAGTTAATTTAGTACTTGACAAAATATTGGAAAATGTGTTAGAAAGAACAGTTTCATGCAGGGCAAAAGGTGGAGTGAATGCCCTGCTGAGCTCCTCCATTCATTCCACTTTTTTTCTTTGCCTAATGATTTCAGAAGTGTCCCCGGGCTCAGACAACTCAAAGCTAACTAAAAAACCTTCCATATCTTCAGGTGAGGTAAAGAGGTTTTGTTCACAGAAACGGAAAAAAGAGGAAGATAGAGGGGGAAAAAAATATAAAGGGAAGGAACTGAAGTCCAGACTTGGGTGTTGCTTTCCTCAGCACACATGAGCAACAGACACCCAAAAAGAAGGCTAGG